AGGCAAAATTTGAAATAAATTTTACCAGCTATGCATATGACAAAGGATTAATATCTAGAATATACAAATACCTCAAAAAATAAACATTGAGAAAACAAACAACTCAATTAAAATGGGGCATAGAACAAAAGAGTTCTTGAAAGATGATATACAAGCCAGATGGTGGTGGCACAAGTCGTTAATCCTGGCACTCGGCAAGCAGAGGAAAGTGAATTTTTGAGTTTGAGGCTAGCCTGGTCTACAGAGTGAATTCCAAGATAGCCTGAAGCTGCACAGAGAAATCCTGTATCAAATAGAAAAAAAAATAGATGAAATATAAATGACTGAGAAACATCTTTAAAATGTATCACATCCTAACCATTAAGGAAATGCAAATTAAAACTATTTTGAAACTTAATCTTTAGAAAGGCTCCACAGCCATGGCCAGGCTGGTTCCACAGGTATCACTTGTGCTCAGGTTGAAGATGAATGATCTCAGATCAGATGGTGTCTGCGTTCTGTCTAAAAGGGCAGTGGCTATTGAGTTCCAAATTTTTATCTTAAGGAATGGATGGTATGGTGTTTTAATAGAACTCCTAGTTGCTATATGGTTAGAGGCAACATTTTAATTATTAATATTGATAAAAATTAAAATTTGAAAAGTCCCAGGGCATGCTAAACCAAACCTATCTGTGTTCAATATGTGTGCTCTTTATCTATATTCAGGTACTTATTGGTTTATCTATTTCACAGTGCTGGGGATAGACCCCGAAATATGGTACATGCTGGGCAAACCTTCTACTACCAATTGTTACACAAACCATCGGGGGAGCCACACTTTTACGCAAAGTTTAAAAGTTCCAGAGTGAAGAAGGCAAAACCACGGCTCATGTGAACTAACTGGGCTGCTTCCTGTGTAGCTGAGATCAAAGCTTAGCCCAGGAGACTCCTCAGGGTAGAGCATTTGGGAGGCTGACCTCCGAGTTCAGGAGGTGTGCTCATGATTCCAGCCCCTGTATCAGGGCTGCCACTGGAGAACAGCGGGTTGGACAGAATGAAAAATAGTTAGGGGTTTTATTCCGTTCTTATTTTGTCATCTAACCTCATCCTTAGTGATTAGAAATTATTATCTTTTATAAAAGTATTGCTGCGTGACCGATAGGAAATATAACATGAGTAAATACATGTCTTTCAAGTTGTGATGGCTGGAGCGGCCTTGATTTCACAGAAAAGGACTTTCCTTCCAAACTGAACAAAGAAGGAATCTTATCTGAGTGAGAAGGACACAAAACAATGCAAAGCAGGACCACGAGAAATGCACTTGAAGTATTTATATTTGTAATAACTTACACATAGTCATTTTACTGAAATGTATAGGAGAGAAGGATTGCTAATACCGTGTCTAGTCACATAGGAAGAATTTGTATCTAGTGGTTTCCAAATCCTAGGACTAGAAAACAATTAATGCCAAATATACTTTTACAGATAATTGCAGGGTATCTTCCCTATTCTGTTCTAGTGGTAGCATGCTAATACTGTCCCCCACATAGATCAATGAGACCTCAGGTTCTGTATTGACATGAATGGTAGGCACCTTAAGGACCAACCCCCCCCCTGTTCGCAGATTACTTAAATAAACATTGGCAAATTCATTAAATAATAGAAACTCCAAGAAAAATGAAAGCGACACCATCCCCATCAGAATAGCTTTGAATTCATCAGATTACACAGTGTGTTTCAGAAAGGGTGGTGGAACGCAGCACCAGGAAGCGCTCAGTAAACATTAACTCAAACAGAAAAGGAGGAAAGGAAGGGAGGAGGAGGAGGAGAGAGAAGGGATATGAGAGAGAGAGAGACAGAGACAGAGAGAGACAGAGAGAGAGACACAGAGAGAGACAGAGAGAGAGACAGAGAGAGAGGAGGAGGAGAAGGGAAGCTGAGGGTCTGGTCCTAACATTACTTTCTATTCAGCAGCACATCAAAGGACAAGAATCATCTGTGATGATGCTGGAAGCCAGAAACTCCCTCCAATCAGCGAGCTCCATGTTTAAGCAACATATGGATCTAGTTCAGCCAGAGTTTCCTGAATGAATGTGGGCCTTTGCGGGCTTTCCAAGCACATGGAGCAGTGCTCCTTCACTGGCACTGGAAACAAAGCTAATGGCCTGCAAAGCCGCACGTGATAGAGATTAAGCTACCTGTCCTGAATGGATGTGATGGTATTTAAACTGGAGAGGGAATGACTTAGAGGAAAAGGAATTTCGGCACCGTCTCCTTTGTAGGATCTGAACGCGGCCGGTTGATTTCTTTTGGAAATAGTTCCAGAGCTAAATATAATACTACTGTTCCCATTAAGAAAACGGGTTTCCTATGAGGTGGCCATGTGGCACATGATGGTTACTCCGATGTCTTGAACATTTCACCCTGTAAGCTGGGCACTGAAGCCCCTCTCCTGGCACTAAGCAGTTCTGTGAGCATTTGCTATTATTGTGCTGGGCTCCTAGGGCCGTGAGCATGCCTGAATAATTGAGTTTAAGCTTAAATAATGATCAGATGCCCTTGGAGACCCCTGACAGACACCAGACTCAACAATGAAGCAGAGGCTTTTCATCACAGCGCAGACTCTGCCTTTGCAAGCATGCTGTAGAATCGTTAGTGGCAAATGCAATTGAGGGCATTTTGAACTTTGCATTCTCCCAGGTAGTGCGTTTATTTTAAAGCAGCCGTCTACTGTGACTCAACTGTTTCTGCATGGAGCATTCTGGTTTGGTAATATAGAAAACAAATCCAGTGTTTTCAGATTGTTAAAATAGTTCTTACTTTGTTTAACATATAAAATACTGTTTTTTTAAAAATATTTTTTGACTAGCTTATTCTGTTTTAAGCCCTATATGCTGAGTAAGCTGAGCTACAAGTCAAATTTCTTTTTCTTTTTGTTAAAATAATATTTTGTTTCATTTAAAGGGTATTTGAGAATATTAATATTTTTTTTCTATTCTGAACCCATCACTCTCAGAGCTAGTTCCAGAAATGCTAACCCTTTGTTTCGGGCCATGGACACAGAAGGGGTGGGAGGAGAGAGTCCACAGAAAGGAAAATCTAACTTCTTAGCAGATTTAGTGGACGTACGTGTGTCAGATGGATCATCCCATAAATAGATTCGCCAGCATCTCACACATCCATGGTGATACGGTGGCACCCCCTGCGTGTGTGCTTTACCTGTTTTAACACTGAGGTGCGTGGCTAGTTTCTGCTGGAAGAGGAGAAGCTGAACCTTAGAGAATTTAGGCAACTTGAACATAAATAGTTAATAAATAGCTGGGATTGTACCTAAGTCTGCTTTGCTCATCATCATACTGGCTGAATCGTGACCTCCTCCCTGACATTGAAGTTCTTATTGTGCCCACATTTGGAGACAAGGCCTCTCAAAGTCCCATAAGATTGGATGTATTATAAGGGTGTATTGCAATGTGACGGATTTCTTTATAAGGAAAGAGACGCAGGAAGCATACATATGAATAATCGGAACACCAGGGCAGGAGCCTTTGAAAAGCCAGATACGGCCACACTTTGATCTTGGATTTCTCGACACCAGTACTATGAAGAAATAGCTTTCTGCCTAAGTTGTCCAGTCGCTAGAATTTTGGTTTGGCAACATTAGCTGGACTAACAGGGAGGTGAACTTCACATCTAGTCTATACATGTTTGCTGCATAACATCCCTATTAATGATACACCATGATGCTGATGGAAAATGCCCTAAGCCTGGGACAGTGGTTGGCTTCTAACCGCATCTCAAAGATGAGACACATAAGAGAGACTCTCTCAGTTCTGCTAAGTTAATGAATGTGATCAGTGGTCTTATGCTCACACTTCTAGGTCAGGATTTCACTGCAGATAAGAACCTAAAATGTATTATTAAATGCCCCCCCTGCCTCCAGTTCAGGTCCTGTAATATGTTCGTGATTTAACGAAGAGCTTCCCTCTCTTCTGCAGTTAGTACAGTCCAGGAATTCAACTCTCACCTGCCCATGCTTTGGGCTTCACTTTATACGTCATGTGACATTGGGTCTTCACTAAACCACCTACACTGTACAGTGCCCCATATCTGGACATTCTATTGCTATGGACTTCTTTGACTTCCATAGAAATTTCTCTCTCCAGTATCTATTTCCCAAAAGGAGATAGATTGTCTAGAGCACAAGACAACTAAGTTCCTAGTGATGGGATAGTGGGAGTCTGCTAACCGATCTCTTAAGAAGAAACAAAAGAATCTTTAGAAAACCTCAATTTCAAATGCAGGCAATGGCCACGCCCTGTGTGATACCTAGGGAAGATCATTGTTCACCCCCCACTGGACATCTTCGGCAAAGAACCTAGGCCTAGAGAAGTTAAACAGTGGGCAGCTACTCCTCAGAATCCTGACACTTGGGGCAGGGACCCTGCTTGGGTAGCGCAGACATTACCCGTACACACTGTGAGTCGTGAGTAGTGCAGACTATCTGGTCCCACCTGGTCCTCACTGTGAGGTTAGAGATGCACCTGAAGTACTGGCAATCAGGGCTTTGGGTCCAAGTTTAGTAATTAGTAAATAAAAGCCCCTGTGCTTCTGTATCCTCACTGACGTTTCTGAAGGTAAAGCCTACCAGTTATGGCCCTGGATTAGCGTCCTATGGTGTCATGGTTTTCACGGCAGATCATCTGCTGTTTCAGCAATCACATCAGATCTCAAGGGTACAAGCCGGCTTTCCCAGGGCACACGCATGCGTTTGCTCCCCAAAGCCACTGGACTATTTCATGGGGATGGAGCGGAGGTGTACCAACATACATCATCACATTTGACCCTCAGGGAGGGTCGTGTAATAAGGGAGGCTTCTTGAATTCTATTGGGTAGATGCAGAAACTGAAACTCAGATCAATAATTGGCAGAGGCTTTGTATGGCCAACTTTTTAGAATCGCAGATTGAAAGAAGACATCTTAAACATCATCATCAAACTATTCAGGAACCATTCTGCAGTGACTTTGCCATTCCCTAAAACCCCGCGAGACCTCTCTGATTCAAAGTGACTGTCATTTATTTCCTCCTGTGGGATGGTGCTGGACTCATAATCCTCATGTTCCATGTGGTGCTTTTCCTCCGTCATCTCTACAGCCTGTAATGATGTGTATGCTCGCTTCTCACATGATACAAAACAGACGTGTACGTAGTCATGCCATGTTCTGTTGACACCCCGAGACTCTTGAAATGGAGCTGAGATGGATTCGTGATGACAATGGGCAGACAAACCCACATACGTTCTCTCTTCTCCTCAGCTCTAGGAGGAGACATGACTGACAGCCCACTCCCGTGGGATCACTTGTAGGCTGTAATGCCCACACCTTAGCTTCTTTAGTCATGGTGAGATGAAAAATAAACAGAGCGGCTATGGGGAAGACCTCAGGTTCCCGGGAAAAGCATGGATATGATGAATGAACACTGTGACTGATATTCCATATGGAAAGAAGTCATGAACTTCATGTCACCACCGGGAGTCAAGGGGAATGCTGACAGCCTTCACACGCAACCACAACCAATCCCAGTCTGACCAACTGCTTTCTGGAAGCTTCACGGATCTCGCAGGTGTGAATTCTAGTTACTCATCCTCTTCAGCAAAGTATCCTTTGCTCTTTAGTTGCCAGAAATAAAGGACAGAGTGTGTTTGCTTTAGCAGTGGGGCTGCATCTCGACACTTGAAGGATGCTGACTTGCAGATACGGATGCACTCAAAAGTGTGTCAAATAGTATACAGATTCTGTGGGTTAAAAGGGCCAGGCCAGCAATCTGAGCATCCGGTTGTTGCTACCCATAGTTTCAGTGAGTTCTCATCGTCCTCTTAGAGCTGAGTTAGAAACAGAGCCAAAAAAACACCGTTCTATGATCTACTTACCGCTTCATTTCATCTGAAGTATATACCGCGTAAGGAGTACTTCATAATACGCTAATCCCGTATTCATCAGATGGCAAATGTTATAGCCCTGTTTCTACAGAGAGCAGCGTAATAAAATTAAGCTGCCTCAGTAGGTGTGTGGAATGAGATTTCCTCTGCATTATCTCAGTGGTTTGGTCCAACGCGTAGATTTCCCAGAGACATGCTTTCTACTGACATAAAATTCTTTTTAACCCTAACCCATGGGAACTAGATTTAACCCTTCATAGGAGTTTTAATAAAAGGAAAATGCTTGTGGTCAAAGAAGAAATTATATTTTTTCCTTGTGGTTGGGGTGTTTTTGTTCCAGACAGGACTAGTGACAATCATATGAGGTTAAACCACAGTGAAGTGTGAGTGCCCAGTACTGGGGTTGAGAGCTAAGAGGTCAGCCTGCCTCTATTGCAATAACCCCTATTCATGTGACTCAAGGAAGTGGCCTCTCTGAGCGGCAGTTTCTCTTCTATAGAATACAAAGTCTTCATGGCATCCTTAGGAATGAGATGCCTGGGCCTATTGTGCAGACTGAGAAGACCGATGTGGATTGTCACTGGACGCTTGCCGACGTAATTGCCATTTTCTTTTGTGAGGCTGTGAACCACCCTAATTTTTCCAACACTAATGTGCCATGTTTCACTGGCTTCTCTGTGGAGCCACTTCCTCTAAAACATCTTCTCTGTCCCATTCTTGATGGATAATATCAGCACTAAAATCAGCCTTCTGGGCATAATTCCAAACGACTCAGTCCAAAAATGTACTGATAATGTCTCAACACAGAATACTCTGAGGATAAAGACTGGCATATGACAGCAAAAAGTATTCCTAAAATGCAGATATTATCCCTTGTGTTCCATGGAACATGTTCCTACGATACAGAATTAGAAGTCATGCTGGGCGATGGCGGTGCACGCCTTTAATCCCAGCACTCGGGAGGCAGAGGCAGGCGGATCTCTGTGAGTTCTAGACCAGCCTGGTTTACAAGAGCCACTTCCAGGACAGGCTCCNAAAAAACCAAAAAAAAAAAAAAAAAAACAGAATTAGAAGTCATAAAATAAAAATGGGGAAGTCCGGAGCTGGACAGATGGCTCAGTAGTTAAGAGTACCTGCTGCCCTTGCAGAGAACGCCAGTTTCCAGCACTCATTTTGTGTGGCTCATAAATACCTGTAACTCCAGTCTCAGGTGATCCTACATCCTCTTCTGTCCTCCACAGCATCAATCATGCATGTGGTGAATATACATGCATACAGGCATTCACACATAAAAATAAATCTCTAAAAACTCAGATGTTGGATAGGCGGTGGTGGCACACGCCTTTAATCCAAGCACTCCAGAGACAGAGACGGGGGATCTTTGTGATTCCGAGGTCAGCCTGATCTACAGAGCAAGTTCCAGGACAGGTTCCAAAGCTACACAGAGAAACCCATGTTGAGAATTAAGGGTCATGAGATGGCATTTGTTGGCCCATTTAGTAACCTAATGAAACCTACATGTATGTTTGTTCTCCTGGCTCTTGCAGCTCAGATATAAACAAGGAGGAAACAGACATAGATAAATATGTCATAACAAAAATGCCAGCTGAGAAGCCACAAAAACACACATACATCTTCTGTGGGACAATGGTTTTACCCTGTAAAGATTTGTTTCTTGTACTTGTTTAGTAAAATGCTAATTGGCCAGTAGCCAGGCAGGAAGTATAGGCGGGACAACCAGGCAGGAAGTATAGGCGGGACAACCAGGCAGGAAGTATAGGCGGGACAACCAGGCAGGAAGTAGAGGTGGAGCAACGAGAATTCTGGGAGGAGGGAAGTTTCACTCTGCAGTCGTCACCCAGACACAGAGCAAGCAAGACGTGACTGCCTTGCCAAAAAAGACACCAAGCCACGTGGCTAACACAGACAAGAATTATGGGCTAATATAAGTTATAAGAGTTAATAAGAAGCCTGAGCTAATAGGCCAATCAGTTTATAATTAATATAGGCCTCTGTGTGTTTATTTGGGCCTGAATGACTGCGGGACCAGGCAGACAGAAACCTCTGTCAACATGCAGATGCGCTACATGCAAATGTCATGAAATTTGCATCAGACTTGAAAATGGGCAGATGCTAGAGGACGGTGCATAACTTTAGCTTGACAATTTAAATAATAAAGTATATAGAAATAATAGCCCCAGACACTGGGAACCCCAACACACAGTCTCAGACATTGGGGTCACTCACACAGACCACATGTAAGTCCTAGACCTTTGAATGTCTAGATAAGTGTGTTTGCACCTAGGCTCTTCCTGTCATTCCTGGCCAGATCTTTGGAGATCTTAGGATTTCAAGGAGTGCTCATCACTCCTCCATCTGGCCTACTGCACCAAAATCCAGAAATGAAAAGGAAGTCCACCTATTCTGGGTTCTGGACAAAACAACCCTCCTACTGTTGCCCATGACTTCACAGTGAGGATGGGCTAGCTCTCCCAGATGTCTGGTAGTTGTGGCTCTTTTTCAACCTTCTGAGTTCTCACTGCTTCTATACTACCTCCACAGAGGTCTCTATTTTCTGGACTCCTCTGATGTGGGATTCCTGTCTGTATGCTGTGAATATCATTGGTTAATAGAGGAACTGCTTTGGGCCTATAGCAGAGCTATGGGGGAACAGAGCTAGGCAGGGAAAACTAAATTGAATGCTCGGAGAAAGGAGGTGGAGTTGGAGAGAAGTCGTGTAGCCCCCACCGGAGACAGATGCCTGATGGAACTTTACCCGGTAAGCCACGGCCACATGGTGATACACAGACTAATGAGATGAGTTAAATTAATATGGAAGAGTTAGCCAAAAAGAATCTAGGGCTAATGGGACAAGCATCAATTTAAATAATATGTGTGATTATTATTTCAGGGCAGCGCAGCCGGGAACTAACAAGCAGCCTTCCTATAACACTGCTCTTCGAGCCAGTCTCTAAAATTCTGGGGCTCTCAATCCAGTTCTTACTTTTCCTATTCTAATTGTGAAAAGGTAGCACTTTTCCCCTATTCTCCAGCTCAGTCTTCCAACCACACAAGACTCAACACCATGTTAGTTGACTTTTCCCTATAACAGTCTTCACAAACACATATTCGTACACACAGACTCACACAGGGTACACATATACAAGCACAGACACACAGACACACACACACAAATCATACACACAGTCACACACAGATACATCTGCACACAATACACACACAAACACAATACATAAATACATATACGCACACTAACACAAAACACATACACATTTACACCTCACACAACACACACACACATATACACACACTCACAATACACTCACATACTCACATAACACATGCACATACTCACACATACACACACATACACACACATCATGCACACTTCAACTGAAATATATCCATTGTTTCTCTCTCTCCCTCACTAGTGCTTGAGTTGCATTGGGATTGTTTTTCATTTTAGTTTTAGATTCTAACAAAAGAAACATCCCGTTTTATGTTAACTAAAACAGAAACTTTGTTAATAGAGACAAAGCAGACAAACTAGACAAGGTCAGATGTGTTAGCGGTGGTATGGTTGTAGTCACAGACAGTCCTAATAATGGAACATCACTATTGTGTACTGGGGTTTAGTTTGTTAAGAGGCTGGGTTTCTGACACTGAAATCCTTGGAGATCGAAGTATAACAAAAACAAAACAAAACAAACAACAAAAACAAAATAAAAGCCTTGTGAGTTTGATATCGTCATATCCAAAAGAAAATGCTGAGCTGGGACTCAGTTTACCACACAGCAAGCTGTCAGAAGATTGTTTATATCCGGATAGTTCCATTTCCTTTATTTGCCCTTAACTTTCACTTGGCCTTATATTTTTTCTTTTCTTTTTTTTTTTTTTTTAATTTTTATTTATNTGTATATCTGCAGGCCAGAAGAGGGCACCAGACCTCATTACAGATGGTTGTGAGCCACCATGTGGTTGCTGGGAATTGAACTCAGGACCTTTGGAAGAACAGGCACTGCTCTTAACCACTGAGCCATCTCCCCAGCCCCCCTTATATTTTTTCTTGAGAGTTAGAAGTGACAATCAGATGTTTATATGTTTAAATCTAGTCAGTATGTTTCAATTTTCTGGGTTTTTATTTCATAATACCACATATGGCTTTTAATTAATTAATTAATTAAATG